GGGTGAGGCACGGATGAAGCCCTGCGTTAAGACAAAAGTCCTTCCTCATCACTGAGCATCGGAAATGGGAACCGGGCGGGGCTGCAAACAGGTCCCAGCTTCCCTGCTCAGAACATGCTCGCCCTGCACCAGAAGGACAGTGGGGAGAATCCGTCCCCTTGGAGCTCCTGCTCTATCGCAAAGTAAACGCTAAGAATAAGCAACAATAAAAGCCTCCCGTCCCAGCAGGCCCGGCCGCCACTGCAAACACCCCTCCCAGGCCCACCTCACACTCCACACTCTGACCTTTGTCCCTTGATTCCCCCTAAATCCTGCTTCAATGCGAGGACGTGTAACAACATTTCCTCCCTAAGCTGTTCTGATGACCATCCATGGTCTATCAAAAAAAAAAGAAGACTGGCTGGTTAACCTTTTGGAGAGCTGCATGACCACAGCCTGACCCGTCTGACCCGCCACGCACAAACATGGACTGTTGGTCAGTCTCAAAGCACGTGCTCAACTAACGTTTTATATAATCAAAACAATGTGGCTCTTCTTGCAATGACGACAGAAAGAAGATGAGCTCTAACGTCCAAGACTTTGGCCTGGTGGCAGCAAGCAGAGAGATATGAGAAAGTGGAGGCTCTCTGAAATAAATCCATGTCTTCCTTCTAATTATCTTTTCTTCCCTTGACTATATTTTTTAATTCTGAAAACTCTCTCCTTACTTCTTCCAACTACATATAACACTATGGCAGTTGCTCTAAGAACTTTTTATTCTATTAGGTTGAGCCATAGGGTCTGTCTGTCAAAAACGATCAAATAGGGCTTCCCTGGTGGCGCAGTGGTTGAGGGTCCGCCTGCCGATGCAGGGGACGCGGGTTCGTGCCCCAGTCCGGGAAGATCCCACATGCCATGGAGCGGCTGGGCCCGTGAACCATGGCCGCTGAGCCTGTGTGTCCGGAGCCTGTGCTCCGCAACGGGAGAGGCCACAACGGTGAGAGGCCCACGTACCACAAAAAAAAAAAAAAATATATCAAACATTGCAATTTCGTATTTGCAATTTCAAAACTTGGGGTTTTACTATCAATTAAGTTACAATCAGTATCCAAAGATATAGAGAGAGTGTGGGCTCAACAGACGATACGCTTGATGCAACAGAAGTTAGAATAACAAAAAATAGTCAAAACCAAGGATATACTGTACAACACAGGGAAACGGAGCCATTATTCTGTAACAACTTTAAATGAAATATAATCTATAAAAACAGTGAATCACTATGTTGTACACCTCAAACTAATATAACATTGTAAAGTAATTACACTTCAATTAAAAAAATACTCGGGGTAGTCACCTAACTTTTAGCCGAAAGAGCATATGCAGATAAACAGTAGAAATGGGTTCTGCATCAAAGCAAGGCCCCCAGCACCAGGCAGGGCTTCTCCCAAGGGCACCACGTCTTATAGTACAGGGACTTCATGCATAGAGTCCTCTGAGACACAGTCAGCAGGCTTCTACCCCTCCTAAGTCATCCTAACGCTTTCTAAGCAGAATGGCACTTTGGTCCGTTGACCTGTCCTCAGTAATAAATTCTGAGCACCATGACCCTGCTTCGTGTTTGAAAATGTTAATTTTTCTAAATTTCAACTAAATGCCCTTTCAGTGTTCCTCTTAATTATAAGGATTAATTTTTGTGAACTCCAAAAGGGTCCTTTCTATCAGTGCCACGTCACTTTCTCAATGAAGATTGAAATCTAGCTCCGTAACACATTTTAAATTATTGAATTTTATTCACAACTTTGCTCTTAGACTATTTTAAGTCTGTAGTGAGGGCTGCTGGGAGCCGGTCTTATGTGGAAATAAAGGTAATGGGACGATCGGGGCTTTCCAAAGGAGTAGACGCAACACTCGACAAAGAATATTTCATGAAAAAAGCAAGTTTCTTTCAATTAATCTGATAATGCAAATTGTCTCTAGATCCGGAAGCGGCATTCAAATCCACCCCTGGATGTCAAAAAATCTGTGGGGAAAATTATGGCACGATGGGGATTTACTGAAGGGGCACAAAGATCTGAACTCTAATGTCAACTTTGCTGCTACAAGTAGCGGGATTCATTCCTCTGAGAATTAGTATGATCTTCCGTTCCTCAATTTCTACATGTTTCCTCTAATCATTTTAACCGGTCATCCCACCAAGGATCTGAGAATTTATTAGAGTCATGTCACTGTTTAAAGATCTAAGTTATCTTTTAGTGACAAGAAAGGCAAGTATTTTCCAAAGCTGAATGCATTTTTTAACAAGAGAAAGGCTCACTGCAGATCAAAATAGAGGATTCAACATACCCATTTGCTCTTGCAAAGCAGCTGCCTCCAAGGCCTCGCCAATCCCTGCTAATGAGGCTTTGTGAGTATTAAATCCATATAACACATCTCTCTCCTTACGGGGCATCCATGAAGCAGCAATTTAATGCCAGCTAGAGCATTAAAGGCCTGCCACGATATAAAGTTTGTGTTTTTAGGAGGAAAGCTACTGTCCTTTGGGGCTACAAAAAGTGACCCGTGCAGACCTACAATGTTCTTCAACATTTTATGCCGCTGTCATGCCATAAATTTTTTTCTAGTCTCTCAATAAGCTACAATATTCTGTTGTCAACTCATTACACCCACACCATATATAATCTTGTTATGGAACCACCTGAGATATCACATTTCTCAAAAAGTTGACTGATACAGAGAAAAGAGATATAATCTCATTAAAAAGTAAATGATAATCTCTAAAACTTAATGAACCTGAGAAGGAACAAAAAGAGTAAATTCCAACTTACAGTGAACGTAATTTGATCTTTCCCACACATTGACATTAAAAGCACTACTGAATTAGCTTATTACTAATCATTTAACTGCCATCATAATAGATGTGGGTAAGGACAGCTTTTCCAAATATTAAAAATATTTGTCCTCAAAGTAGGAAAACAATCATTGGCGGCTTTAATATTTCATCCAATGTGCTCCAAAAAGTAGCCATGGTACTATTGGAATGTGACCAGTAAAATCTATAGTTGTCAACATTTTTTAAAAGGAAAAACAAAAATTAATCTTCAAAAATGCCACCCAGGGGGTCACAACTGGGTTCCCCACATCTTACGTGACAAGCTGCTAGAAGAACCCAAAAAAGCTCACAGAACCAGCACCGCATTTTCAGAGAACAGTATATTGTACTGCTCCTTTCCACAGGTTAACGACTAAGAAATGAAATGCAAGATACGAGCCCCCGCTTGCCACAACTAGAGAAAGCCCGTGAGCAGCAACGAAGACCCAATGCAGCCAAAAATAAATTAATTAATTAAAAAAGGGTGGCGCAGTGGTTAAGAATCCACCCGCCAATGCAGGAGACACAGATTCAAGTCCTGATCCAGGAAGATCCACATGCCGCAGAGCAACTAAGCCCGTGCGCCACAGCTACTGAGCCTGCGCTCTAGAGCCCGCGAGCCACAACTAGAGAAAGCCAGCGTGCAGCAACGAAGACCCAACGTAGCCAAAAGTAAATTAAATAATTATTTTAAAAAACGTGTTATTTTCATTTACCTACATACACACACGTGCAGATTCAGCATAGACTGATTGCCCTTATTGGAGCAAAGAAACAATTTTTTTCTATGCTTTTACTGACTCCACATATACCTGAGTGTATCAGAGGCTCACACAAAACGTTGTATGGACCTGTAATAATTAAACTGTGTTCAGGAGAATTGGCTAAATCTTTAATAAGGGAAAGGTGACATATGTTTGTGGGGTTTTTTAAGACATGCACAGGGGCAGTCTTCCTCACTACAGAATATAAAAAGCCCACCTGAAGCACTTGGATCGCTATCCCCTCTGACCTTTCAGTAAAAGCAACATCCATTAACCAATTTTCAGGGAGAAGAGGAAAACATTCCCCGCTACGCAGAGAAAGCTGCAAGTCTAGAACTGAAACATCACCTTACACTTAAAAGGATTACCCAAAACAAAAAATTATGAAGAAAATATCAAAATGTTTAAAAATTTCTTTTAAAAAATAGGAAAATGATGAAAATAAAGTTGGCCAAGCATCTTTAAATATTTACATAGCTGCAGTTTGGAAAGTAATCTGATTCCAATTAGCCGTCTCTAAACCCATAGGGTTATACCTGAATCTAAAGAGATTAATTATAACTGCACACAATCCAAAGTTCCTCCTTCACTCAGCTGTCTGGGGCAAGGAGAGGGGCAAGGGAAGCATGTGTGCCCCGGCTGACGGCGAGAAGTGAAGGGCACAGCTTGGAGGGGGTCCATCACCTGTTCTTTGCTCAGAAACGTCTGATGCCCCAGAGAGACCATCACCTACATAGCCAAAGGTGCGAATTTATGCAAACACTATGGGCAGTCAGCAAACGGAAGCCTCAAGTGGAACTGACACTGGGCGCAGACTACCTGAGTACAAGCCTACCAGAGCCTGGGATGCCTGGGAAAAGGCACCAAGCGTGGGGTTATCTGGCTGTAGGGCCACCTAAGTAGAAGGCTACCTGAGCACCGAGACTATGTGGGCCTGGGAAACCAGGGAGCCGGGTCACCTGGGGGCAGGGCTAATTGAGCCCAAATTCCCTGACCATGAGATCCTGGGCAAGGGTTAGCTGGACCTGGGTCACCCGGGGACAGGGCTACCTGAGCCTCAACTACCTGGGCATGGCTGATGGGCGAACCAGGACTACCTGGCCTGGGCCACCGGGGCAGCGGTCTACTGGGCCTGGACTTCCCTGGCTCAGGGCCATCGGGCACAGAGCTCCCTGAGCCTGGACCACCTGAGCGTGAGCTACCCGGGCAAGGGCTTCCTGGACCTGGGCCACCTAGCTATGGGGCGACCCAGACACAGGGCTACCTGAGCCCAAGCCAGCTGGACGTGGGATACCTGGGCAAAGGCGACCCAGGCACAGGGCTACCGCGACCAGGACCTCCCGAGCCCACCTTACTCGCGCCTGGACCACCCAGGCGCACGCGCTCACCTGGTGCGGGATGGGCTGCGCCCTCCTCTCCGCTCTCGAAGGCGGCCTCGTCGGCCAGGCCGGAGCCCGGGGAGTCGGCGGCGGCGCAGGCCGAGCCGGGGCTGCTGGGCTGCGAGGCCGAGTCACCCTCGCTGAGCGAGCCGCAGCGGGCGCGGGGCGCGCGGTCCCCGGGGCCGTCGCGGTCACGGTCGCGGCGCGCGCGGCGGTGCACCCGCGAGTGCAACACCATCTGGTGGTACGTGCGGAAGATCTTGCCGCACTCGAAGCACTCGGACGACTTGCCGTGGCCGGCGGGGGCGGCGGCGCGGCGGCTGGGGCGCGCGGCCGGCCGGGGGTCCGGGGGCCCGGGCGCGGGGTCCCCGGGCGCGCCCGCCCTCTTGCGCGGGGGCCCCTGCGCGCCGGGCTCGGGCTCGCGCTTGCGCTTCTCCTGGCTCACCAGGATGAACTCGCGCCGCTCCTTGTCGAAGGCCACGTCCCCAGCCAGCGCCTCGTCCCACGCCGCGTACTTGAGGTACTCGGCCGGCTCGGCCACCCTGCCCCGCGTGGCCAGCTGCCAGGCCTGGTAGCTGTTGACCGGGTCCAGCTCGGCCACGCGCCGCCCGGCCTGCCCGCGGGCTGGCGCGCCGGCCGCCGGGCGCAGGTTCAGGCACTGAAGGAAGAGCTGCTGGGAGTCGGCGGGGCCGGGCGCCGGGCCCTCCCCAACCGGGGCCCGCGGCCGGCCGGCCTCCACCCGGCGATGGATGGCGTTGTGCGCGTTCAAGCTGTCCAGGTTCGTAAACAGGTTCCCGCACTTGGTGCAGACTTCGTAGAGGCTCAGGCCGGCCACAATCCCCTCCTCCTGCACCACGTTGTTGATGGTGGCGATGGGGTCCAGCTCGCCGCGGGGCCTGTTCTTGCTTCCCGCCTTCGGGCCGTGCGCCTTCATGTGGTTTTTCAGGAACCACGGCTCCTTGAACCTCCGGCCGCAGATGTGGCAGCCGTGGTCGAAGGAGCCCCTGTGCTTCTTCATGTGCGCCTTCAGGAACCAGGTCTGGCTGAAGGCCTGGCCGCACACCTCGCAGGGGAACTCGCCGGGGGGCAGCTCAGGCTTGCCGTTCTCTGCGAAGGCGTCGCCGCGGGGCCCCTGGGCCGTGATGTGGTCCTTCTCGATGTGGCTGAGCAGCGACTCCTCCCGCAGGGTCACGTAGCTGCACAGCCGGCACTTGAAGGGCTTGTGCGCCTGGTGCACGTGCTGCTCCAGGTCCTTCCTGCGCTCGAACTTGCTCTTGCAGAAGGAACACTGCCCCGCCCCCGCCGCCTTGGCCTCCTCCGCCGCGCGCGCCGCCCCCTCCGCCTCCTTCTTGCTGCTCCTCAGCAGGATCTTGCCGCTGTCCACCTGGGTGGCGCCGTTCAGGATCCTGTTGCAGGCCGAGGCGCTCTTCGTGGGGCTGGCGCAGCCGTCCAGGCCCTCGGACACGCGCGTCTCGCCCGCCTCGGGCGCGTGGCCCTGGATCAGAGTCCCCGTGCGGTGGCCGCGGATGTGGATTTTCAGGTTGCCCTTCTGCGAGGCCCGGTGGTCGCAGTACGGACACTTGTAGGGCTTCTCGCCTGTATGCTTGCGCATGTGCTGGGACAAGGAGCTCTGGAAGGGGAAGCTCTTGCCGCAGATGCAGCAGCTGTGGCTCAGCGCCTTGTCGCCGTCCGCCTCGGGGCTCCTGCTGGCCCTGGGTGGGCTGGGGCCCCTTCTCAGCTCCGTCTCGGCCTCTCGGGGGCGGTCCATCTCGACGACGAGGGCTCGCCCGGCCGGGGGCGGGGCACGGCGCTCGGTCACGCGGGCCTGCGTCTTATCTCTCCATGTTCAGGCGAGCCTCCCGCTTGCCGGCTGCAGAAGTCCGCCTGCCCCGCGGAGGGGCATGTCTTACCTGGAGAGCATGGCAGAGGGCAGCAAGCACCTGGAACAGAAAAGACACGGAGATCTTAGGAACCAGGCTTCCCCGCATAAACAGGGGCCCGGTAACATCCGCGGACCGCGATCTGCACGCTCCTCCTTCAGAAAACCAATCCCGTCCAAATTAAAGAAAGGAAGCACCCACGAAAGTTTAAACAGACGTATGAGCAGCTGCTTCCCTTTACAAAATCAGTAACTAAGCAATTAATGACTGATAATAATTGTGTGCTAAATCATTAAAATAAATCATCGTAAATAACTGCGCACTAGAATAATTTTTTATCCAAGATATCCAGTGTTTAAGGAAAGACTGTGGTGAGAGTTCTTGGGAGTGTGCAGAACACGGGCGAAGGGACAGGAGCGCGTCTGAGAATGAAGGACAGAGACCCAGGCCAGGCGGAGGATGGCAAAACGCGGGGACACGTGCAGGACACGTGAGCTGCGAGGAGGGCGTTCACAGCCGGAAAAGGCGCTTTACAAATGCATCTTTGTGTCTCGGTGAAGCACAGATGATTTAGTGAAAGAGAAGCAATGAAGGACAGGAGCAGAACCCTGAGGTCCTTCCAGATCTGGGCCTGAAGCTGCTGCTCCAGCACCTGGCGGCCCACGCCGGCCGCCCCGACGGACACCACTCCCTGGGGTGTGTGACCACCAGGCCGTTGCCACCGCGACATTCAGTCTTCGCTGCCTCTTAGATAAAGCCCAAACCCCTCGGCTGGCCTCACCGTGCCCTTCCCGACCCGGTCCTGTCTCTTCTCTCCTGCACTGGCCGCAGGGCCGAGTCCCACCCCGGTGCAGACACCCTCCCGACCCTGGCAGGTCCTCACATGGGAGGCGGGGTCTGAGCCCAGCAGGAGCAGGGGTCAGTCACACTGTGGGGTCACTGTCGCTCTCATGCTTATCCACCCCCTGGAGAATGAGGGTCCGGGGCTGCTCCTCCAGACGCCTGGGCGTCTCCCTCACCTGCGCACAGGCGAAGGGGAAGTGGACGGGGTTGCCCAGCGCTGTGCCTGGCTCGCGTCGGGCAATGATCTGGGCTGCAGGGAAGCCAGCCCTGATGCCTGTAAACTGCCAAACAGGCCCAAGACAGTACACACTGACAAGCAGCTATCTCAGGAATTTCCATCTGACTCAACCATACGGAGAATAAAGAAAACAGCTGACCAGAAGGGATGTGAGAGGTAAAGTGTCTTTCTGGACTGTATTTTGATGGGTGTATATATATGTGTAACTGAGTCACTTTGCTGTACAGCAGTGATTAACACAACACTGTAATTCAACTATACTTAAGTGAAAAAATTTTTTTTAAAAAGCAAGCAGGAGTGGGGCAGTGGGGAGAACAGCCTGCACACACAGGCCCCTGGGGCCCAGTCTGTTTATCCTTCTTATCTCTAAACAGAAGTAACTGAGTTAATGATTCTGAGGGTCTCCTGGGGGCTCCAGACTTGCACAGAGAGGCACCCAGATGGACAGATGTTCTTTTTTAACAAAGCTGTAACATGTAGAAAGGAAGCCACATTTTTTACAAAGTTTCAACCTCAGGCACACTAAGAACTCATGTTTGAAAAGCAACAAAATGTGAAAAAGCTATGTATTTCTGGTCGTCAAGCAGACAGTGCACAATGCACATCGTTTGTTCAGAGAGGAGGCCAGGCAGCAACGCGTTGTTTGCTCTGGGTGGTCCGACCTGCCATGTTTTCCCCGGAGCAGACTCCGAGAAGGATGCTGAGGGTGGAAGGCAGGGGGCGGGAGGGTGTCACCCAAACATCCCCAGGGGTTCCAATAGATGACACTCTATTCCTCCACTCACCACGAGGGACAGACACCTTCTGAAAAAACAACACAACTCCTGTTGTCCGAATGCCTCCTCCCGGAGACCCACGCCAGAGGCAGAAATCTCATTTAGATGATGTATTCTCAAACTGCTTTCGAGAAAGCCTCATGCTAGCAAGTTTCCCAGGCACCTAAAGAAACCAAGTCAGTCTGAGCAACAAACTCTGGAAAGCAGCAGGAAGCACAGCTGCTCACAGATATTCCTTACTCTTTACACCAACGATGGGTACAGAGCCACTCCCACACCCCAGGAGAGAGGGAGAGAGAAGTGAGACGGGAAACTCCCAATAAAATAAATAAACAAAATCTCCCCTAAACTTGGATAAACAAATGAGGTGAATAAGAAGACTTCTTCATGACAATTTAAGCTAATTTGTTTTTTCAAGCTGTTTTGGTCTTAGACGGCTGCATATTATTCATGCTGATTTTATAAGACAAATGATTTGCATGCACCCCCTGCCATCCCAGGGCTTATTTCAGTCCCCCAAATGTTGAAGTTGATATAATATATAAAAATATAAATGAAACATACTATTTACATTTAACTTAGTGACCTATTCTGGGTACAAAAATCTTCCGAGTTTAAAGAACCATCTAGAATGCATTTACAGAGGAAAAAACAACTACAACACCAGAAATTGGTGTCCTCTTAAGTAATGTGACAGACTTCACTGGACCACTAAGTTGGTTCATAAAGGATGTTAAATGTCAGAACTTCTCCAGTTCACGGGAATTAAACATCCGAAACCCTGCCAGGAAGACAAGATTCATGGAGCATGAATGCTCAGCTAGCTAAGGTTCATAAAAGGCAACCTACAAATTGCACCTGGAAATAAAATGAAATTGTCAAGTGAGAAGAATTGTTCAAATCACCAAAACCGCAGGCACTCTTTGTGGGTTTCCCTTCCTTCTCTGCTACTCTCCCTGCCATGTGGGGCACTGCTGGGAGCCATAAAAAGTTAAGGGCTCTGGAAGCCAAGAAGCTGCGCTGGGGATCCGCACAGAGACCCCACCTCCGTGCCGTCCAGGTGTGGCGCAGAGCCCAGCTCGGGAGTCCCGTCCCCTATTTGCCAGCGTGTGAATTTCAGAAGGTGTCCTTCACACCCAAGCGTGCCCTCACCTGTCAGGTGCCGAGAGTCAGGAAAGGACATGAGGAAGCCGTGTGACACCGAAACCCCTTGCAAGGCACCTCCTCCAAGTGCCACTCAGACCCCCAGTCACAGTGCAGAGCGAACAGTCCACGGACAATAAAACACCTGCCCAACGGGGCCTCGCTTCTACTACCAGGTAGCATCCCGGCTGGACGAGCCCAGAGCAAAGTGCAAAGAGGATCAGATGTGAGCACAGCCCCCCTTCTTCCCATGGGGGACCTCAGTCTCTTCTGCACATTTAAAAAGGCTTAGAGCTGCCATCTTTGCTACCAGAGAAATCCACATCCAATATCCTCATGACAGCCTTGATGTGTAAAATTTCTGATTCCCCAACACCCCCAAGCCCCCAGCCAAAGCCTAGACACTTCCCCTCAAGAAACCCAAACACTAGACAATATACTTTTTGTTTCTTATTCAGGCTTCCTGCAAAACTTGCTTAAAAGCTCGCAAAGGCAGCAGAGCCCTGCAATTTACAGGAAAATTCTCAAGCAAGGGCCTTCAGGGTGCCCATGAGTCAGCACAACCAGCTCTTCTTTCTCTTTTGTTTCCCACTTCTCTGCCCACCCCCATCTTTCAACACTGAGCCCTGCTGTCAATCTCTGTGAGAATGACAGGAGATGTCTTTTTAAAGAACTTAAGAATATTTGGAGGGGGAAAATGGAAAAATACCATAAGGGTAATGACCACTTAAGCTCAAAACACCATTATCTTAAGGAAATCATAACATCAACAAAACTGGCTCCACTTGAAAGAGGCCACTAAGTGGCCCCCTTCCTGAAGCCCACAGTCGACTGGCAGAGTTTCTTGCAAACCTTTAGAGAAACAGTCAAAAAGGAATTCCCCACAACTGGCTTTCCTTAGTCAGCGGCCAGTAATCATTCTTTTCAGCTGCAGACAAAAATTCTTTTCCCCAAAAGAACAAGAATGGTGTCCTCAGAACTTCCAATGTGAAAATGCAGCAGGGCAGCCGCCCCAGTTAGAAGACTTAGGGGAACCTTATTAGCCCCATAACCCACAGCACTAACTGACTCTGCTATCCTTTAAAAATAAAAAAGCCCACCAGCCTCTGTGAGCCAGGAGGGTCTCAGACGGTTTGTCAACATTGATGGGGGTCTGTGGTGGTGAGAGGTGGTCATCCAAACACCGCCCCGTGATAAAGTGTCACACTACCTGGTTTCAGCCAAATACATTCCGGTACCGAGCTGTCCCTATTTTACTCTCACAGGCAAACGCACGCGAGTGCGACTTGGTGTTCCAACTTTTCCTGAAACATGTTAACCTAAAGATAACTAGCCTTACAAAGCGTGTAAGGAGATGCTTAGCTCTTTACTCTGAGCAGAGCGATTAAAGAAAGTCTTCGGGCAACACAAATATTAGAAAGTAGAGGGGAGAGAAAATCCACACATGTGTTGCAGCTGGCATACGACCCATGTACATACACACATAGGGCACAGCCCCATTTGAATCATATCTTGCCCATAATGAACCACAGTTTTGTTGTTATTATATTACAAACTTTTTCCAAGGCTGTAATTGGGAACTTGCCAGACAAGCCTGTAATTTAATTGTTTAGGCACAAAAATGGCTTGCTGATTAGGGTTTTAAAATAGATTTCCAATGCATTGTTTTTTAAATGAGAGACTCTCATCTGTTATGTAATTCCTTCCATATGTAGAAAGGTTTACAATCCGTGTATTAGTGATACCGTATGATGTTTCTTTTTCCGTGTGACTTATTTCACTTGGAATCATCATACGACCCATGTACATACACACATAGGGCACAGCCCCATTTGAATCATATCTTGCCCATAATGAACCACAGTTTTGTTGTTATTATATTACAAACTTT